TGGATGAATGAAGGATTTTGAATAATTAAAATATTTAATTTGCAAATATTTTATGAGGAACAAAATGCACTCAACACACATGCTATGCATTGTGGTGACAAACCCTGGGGGCAAATATAATTTTGCTGGTTTACAAAAGATTCGGTGCACCTCTTAGTATAGTACAATAGTTTCTGACATTCATTTATAATGAAGATTTGTAATTTACTTTTTGATTTACTTGATCAGTCAGTCGAGGCAGAAGGCCGCCCACCAAGAGCCGGGGTCTGTTGGAGGTTTCTTCTGTTAAAGGGAGTTTTTCCTCCCCCCTGTCTCCAAGTGCTGCTTAAGGGGGATTTGTTGGGTTGTTCTCTATAATAATAATAATAATAAGGTCTAGACCTTACTTAATAAAGTGTTCTGAGATGGCTTTTGTCGTGCTTATGCTCATTAGACTGTTCTCCTTCTCATTAATATCCAGGATTATTAAAAACACCACTTTTGTTGGCCAGGAAAGAGTTCCCAGACACTGGGTGTTAACAACATTGGTTCAACAAGCTCCAGCTTTTTGGCTTTCCTTTTTGAGATCGATATAGGAACTTTATCTACAAGCTGGAGTTAGGAAAGGCTTAAGACCTTTGCTCAACAAATCCACATAGCATTATGTAAAGCTGGCAGTTTAAGGTGTCTGACCCTCTGCTGTGCTGAAGTCTGTATTCCACTGAAGTAGTAGAAGCTACTCAGCTTTGCTCACTGTCACCGCTTCCCACAAAATGTTAGGTTTTATCATAGACCGTAGAAAAAGATAGATGTGACAGTTACCAGAAGTGAAGCCATTGTAAGTCAATCTCCCCCTGGTGGCTGGTTGCAATATAGGTCAGAAACCCCACCCCCTCCATGTTAGTGGACATGAGCTGAAATATATCATTCAAAGTACAAATCTAATTAGTTTTTACCAAAAGGTGACTTCAATCATTTTGGGTTGATATTACACTGATCTGTGTACAAGTGGTCATTTTTCTGATGTTTGGTTTTACCAAGCTATTTGGCTAAATGGGGGTATTTTGGATGACTGACAGCTTTGATTGGTGGCCTAATACTGTAGCTCTGCATTGGGTACTACTGTGCAGCTCTGCATTGGGTACTACTGTGCAGCTCTGCATTGGGTACTACTGTGTAGAATCTGGTTGCAAACTGAATCACAAGCAAGATGGCTGCCAACACGTCGGCGATATTTTTGCTTAAATTTTGTATGGAAGCAGGACGTGGTGAGGCATCTATATTTCAAACTCTTTTCATTCACATTATTTTTGCCAAGCCATCAGTAGCTCCTGCACGCCGAGTTACGTGGAGGTGCTCGTATAACTGACTATAGCAGCAGCTGACAACGTCAGTCCCTATGTGGTCATTGAAACTGAAGTGATACGAACTATGTTTTACTGCCCATCCACATAGATACTGTTTAGCCTGAATTAAATTATCAGAACCAAAGTTGTCAGTCATATTCACAAATTCATGCCCACTGAAGAAGCACTTCTTTTTAATAGTTATAATTTTGACCCAGTAAGGACACAGGTGAAAACTAAACACCATGTTATAGTCACTCACTTGGAGGGTGAGTGAAGAAATGAACAGACCCAGATGGCTGACTTCAGTGCAAGCAGAATTTATTTTGTGCTGTACAATATATACAAGTGACGTGATAAGGAAACAAACTAGGAATAGTAGTACCGGGTGTTGATCAGCTAGCAGATAACAAATGACGGATGGATATGATGAGATAGGCTGAGCTACGGACGCTAGGGTCACTCTCGGTCTGGCTGGTGGGTGGTAGATGGGATCTGATGACTGTGTACCGACCTGGCTGATGGAGGCTGGAAGGTGGAGTGGAGTAATGGTGCGGAGGAGAATGGTCCGTGGAGGATGGTCGAGGAACGAGGCAGGGTAGACAGACTGAAAGAACAAAACCCAATGGTAACAAGACTAAGAGAAGGAGTGAAAGAATGGTTGCTGGCCTGAAAACACGACGAACTGACAAGGATAACAAGACTAAGAGAAGGCGTGAAAGAATGGTTGCCGGCCTGAAACCACGACGAACTGGCAAGGGAGTGAAAAGTGAATGGGGTATAAATAAGGTGAAGGAGTGAGTGAAAACAGCTGGTGTCAATTAGGGAAACGAGTGGCAGGTGTGCAAGGTGACGTGATCAGGAACCGAAAAACAAAGAGAGGGAGGTGAGAGAGGCAGGTACAGCCGAGCAAACCTAACACACCAAAGATATTTATATACCAATTTCTTAGCAATAGTTAATTTTCAGTTCAGTATATTTCCTTTCAGGGTACATTATATTGGTTACAGACCCTGAAGAATTGTTATGTATATTTTTTCATTTCACAGTCAGCCTCAGTTTTCCTCTGCTTCCACTCTTTATGCTAAGCTAGGCTAACTGTGTCCTGCAGCTCAGTTTTTAATGTACAGGAAGGAGACAGATACCATTTGTCTCATCTGACTCTCAGAAAGAAAGCAAATGTAAGCCTTACAAACTTTTTCTAGCTATTCTCAAGAACAGTACATTAGTCTAGAACAACAAATGGAAAAACTTTCAACAGAAATAGCCACAGATATTGTTCATGACACTTCTGACATATTTAGTACCTTTGCTTCTGCCTCACCCTGGCAATTACGAAGGCCAGGATCAGTAGCCCATTGAGGACACCCACCACACTCAGGGTCAGTGGTACACTTAAGGAATCATCAGCTACAACTCTGCAAACAGAAATGTTCAATAACTTATGCAGTTCATTTCTTATTATCTTTATTCTCCATTCATTGAGAAACAATCCAAGAGTCATTTTCAAGGAATTTCAGCACAAATACAAAAATATGTTGCAATTTTTTCCAGATGCATGTTTTAATTTCCAATTTAAAAAAAATCTATTATCTCTTTATTTGGCTTTTTGAGGACCGGGGGCTCATGGGAGTCATGATAGGGGCCGTGGGCCTGGACATGGGCATGGAAGAGATGGTCAGTCTGGAGGAAATTACCCTTCCTCGAGGGGAAAGGATCGCCACAGAGATCATGAGCATAAGCAGGGCCGCAGCTCACAGACAGGTTAACACAGGTGAGATCTAAACACTCATTAATGACTCTTAAACCCTATTTTCTGTCAGCTTCTTGTTCCCAGTGATAGGCTTCTACATGAACACCATTTTCTGCTAAAGTTTGGGTTATTTCTCAACATAAATAATTTTTGTGTTGTAAAAGTGGTGTTTGGCAACATTTCTACCTGAGGGCACTTAAGGGTTCAATTAAATCTGGTCAAACCCCACAGTCCTGATGAAGGTTTTGAGTGTTTTCATAAATAATTCCTAAAGATGTTTTTTAAAGCTTGGATTGTAATATTAAATTTCTCTGACTAAAAACCAGAATAGAAATACAATGAAGTTAGGTTGTTAGGGGCTTTAAAGTCATACCATAATTTAAAGTCAGTGCCTTGTTTTATACAGGTCTTTAGTCCATGGTCTGTGGTGGAAACCCGTCAATCGTGTGTCAGTCAGGGGAGATGACATCCGTGCTGTAGGATTTACAGCTGAATGTTGTGATAAAGAAAAGTGACCATTCTAAACAAAACCTGAGTTGAATCAGGAAGCATAAAGTTGCCAGTTTGCATGTTGGAACAAAGTATTATAAGGAAGAGAAAATGTTTATTTTTAGCAAAATACTCTGTCAGGACACTTTAAACATAGTTACAACACTGGCTGTGTTGCAATGCTGTTAAATATTGAATCATGTTCAAACATCTGATGTGAACTTTTTCACCTATTTGTTAATGGCTCACTTTAGCAGCTAAAATACATTTTATGGTCCATTTTTTTAAATCATGGTTTACTCAGAAACTGACCTGAAAAGTGAAAAACTTTATCTGCTCATATCAAATAATCAGTAATCAGTCATTATCAATAAAAGGCAGCTCCTTGTATCGAATCATTTCCTCCCAGCAGAGCTGCAGAGTCTGAGCCACTATATCCTCTGACATCTTCTGGGCGTAATCCTCTATCGGTTTACAAGCTGGAGGAAGCTCCGATGAACAGCCAGCAGCCGGTGTCTGCTCTAAACTGGCAACACAAGCCACTTCCTTGACATCCTGGTGAAAGACTTTTGTTTCACCTTCTCCTTGTTTGTCAACAGTGGCCCCCTTTTGTTTGCCTGAATCAGATGAAGACCGACATCTGGACTCATGACATCCCATTTCACCCAGACACCAGAGGAACAGACTTTTTAGCAGGATGTGCTTTTGAAGATAATCTCCATGTCTGCAGAAAAAAACTAAGAACAATGAGAAAAACTGCAGACAGAAACGGATTTTCCTCAAAGCAGATTGTTTATCCGCTGTGGGGAAAGAGAGAACTACCTGCAAGCTGCTGCTTAACTGGTAACAGTAAAATCAAGACCATCAAGTTTTTAAAATCTGATCCAAGGTCTTCGAGTACAGGTAGCTGAAAATCTATCCTTTCAAGGGAAAAAATAAGTAAATAATGAAATGTAGAGAATGCAGATGTCTGGTTTTGTCAGTCAAAGACAGTCTCTCAAGCTTTTATATGAATCATGAGATCTTTACCAGTTTTAAAAAAGTCACAGTATTATTTCCAGCATTGTGAGTGATTTGAATGTTTACCCTGTTCTTTGTGTTTGCAGCTCCTCTCTGGACTGGCAGCAGAACAATTTAAGGTTTTCTTAACCTTCAGAGTTGCTCATAAATTGGCAGCAGACCAGTTTCCTCCCACTGCTGGTTGGTGGGAGGAGCAGACTGCTCCACCCACATAAACACATCAGATTACCCCTTAAACATCCATCATTTCAGTGTTAATCAGGAGAAATCATTCACTCAGCTATTTAGATGTTTGGATTAATACTGATGAGTGTGTGTGTGTGTGTGTGTGTGTGTGTGGGGGGGTGCTTCATGAATTATTAATTTGGGGAAAATATCTTCCAACTTTAATTATAAAATGAAGAAAACTAAGTAAGCAATTTTGTGCAGTTTGACTTTTTTCTAAAGGGTTGATATGAATTGCACTTAATTTGACAAGTAAAAGATGTTCATGTAGGAAACTTTATTAACCCTCGAACAGAGAAATAAAAAGATAAAAGTGTGTTTTTTTAGATTAAGGTGATATTATCGGAATCCTTAAGTAAAAACGAACCCTATCATATGGTTTAATTGGTAGCTGTGCCTTTAATGTTTCTGTGTGTTCAGTAAAAAAAAAGTGGGTCAGGGCTGTGGCTAGAGAAACTGACCTCAGGTCAGCAGTGGAAGGTGCCTTCAGTTGCTCCTGGAAGTGGGAGTTTATACCATTCTCACTGTATGGAGAGGTGTAGTGCTGCCATCTGGTGGCGACACAAATGGTGACAGTGTGGATTTTGCCCAGACAGTTGTTTGAAGTTATAAATCCACTCACTGAAAGACAAAAAGAGTAAAACCAGCCGTGTATGTGAGCAGCAGTAGGCCCTGTGTCTGGTCTCAGACTTGTCATAGTTAAAAAAAAAAAAATCCCTCTTTGATTTTTTGAACATTTTAGCTTATTGTCTGTTGTGATGTTGGACAACTTCACGTGTAAAAAAAAAAAATGTTGAGAGTGGGTGAAAAACCCATCTGAGCCAGTCCTTAAGGACACAAGTGGTTTTAATCTGGCTTCATTTAATATACACAGTGTTTATATAAACTACCTCTTTAAATCCCCCCTCTGGTTAAAAAAGGATCCTCCTGGCAGCCAATTATAAAGTCCTGAGGTCGGGGACAGACTCAGCAGTTGGAGTTACTGCACTGACCTCTTCGTCACTCCAGGATGCTCCTCTTGCTCCGTCTGACCATCTTCTTCTCTGCAGGTTTTTCCATGGAGATGAACCAGACCTCCAGGCTGCAGGCAGAGAGCGGAGAGCAGTGCTCGGTCTGTGACTTCCGGGAGCACAGCAAGCAGATGAGGCTCCACACCATCAAGTCCCAGATCCTCAGCATCCTGCGGCTCGAACAGGCGCCCAACATCAGCCGGGACATGATCCGCCAGCTGCTCCCCAAAGCACCTCCTCTGACACAGCTCCTGGACCAGTATGACCCCCGGGTGGAGGACGAGGACCACGCCACAACAGAGACCATCATCACCATGGCCACCAAGCGTAACTAAACTGAACCAAAATGTCTTTTGTCTGAATGTTTTCTGCTCCGGGATCTTTTCTGAACATCATGTGTAAAAAGTCAAGTCCATGAGTAAATTCTGTGCCTAAAGTTTGTTTCCAGTTGTTTATTTGTTGGGATTTAATCAAAAACTACTGACTGTATCTTCATTTTAGGAAGCTGTCGGTATTTAAAATCTATTTAGCATTTGAAAAATATCCATGAAATAAAAAAGTTATTACATTTTTTCACAAATAACAGCTAGTGGACTTTCAGTCCATTTGTGGAAGAAGATTAAAGGCAGCAACCCGTGCAAAGTGTGGAAATATCTACCACGTAAAGTTTATGTTGTGACAATGTTGGTGGTGTCAAACAATACAGAAAATTCTCATTCTCTTACATGTCACATTTCAGAAATGTCACTGACCAAATCTTGCTTCAGTAAGTGAATGTTGCCCAGAGTGTACATGTGATCTTTATGCACTCGACTGATGAGCCTATATAGCTATCATTCTGCTCTCTTGCTTGCTTGTGTGGGTTGCACATGTGTGTATTTATGTTTATACCAGCATGAGTTTAGGATGGGGGCCCATGAAAACATCTTGCACTGTGGATTGTCAGGAGCAGCAACTTTGATGTTAAACCAGATCAGTGAACATAAAAAATAATTAGGGCTCATCCTCTAGAGAGCAAGACTATCTACAGCAATTTTTGTCTGTGTGGGGCATCCAGTTTGCAGACAGAACTAATACAGAGCTAATACACACTGCCAGATTTAACACTTCATGTGACTGATTTCTTCCAGCGAATCTGATCGCCCAGGACGAGTTGTCTTCCTGTTGTCTGTTCAGCCTCAGTCCAAAGATCCAACCCAAAAACATCATGAGTGCTCAGCTGTGGGTTCACCTGCGGCCAACCGATGTGGTCACCACCGTCTTCCTGCAGATCTCTCGCCTCAAACCTGGAATTGAGGGAAACAACACCCGTGTCCGAGTGCGCTCCCTGAAGATCGACACAGACGCCGGCATCAGCTCCTGGCAGAGCATCGACATCAAGTCTCTGCTGCAGGCTTGGCTCCGTCAACCAGAGACCAACTATGGGATTGAAATCAACGCCTATGACTCCAAAGGAGAAGATTTGGCTGTCACCTCAGCAGAGCCTGGAGAGGAAGGCCTGGTGAGGTCACAACAAGTCTCAGTATTAACAACCAAATAATCTGATTATTTGTTCCCACTAATGCTGTCAAAGCCAGTGGCTTGTCTGTGGTTTCTTCAGGAATGTTTTTCTTTTCCTTTCCAGCAACCATTCATCGAGGTGAAGATCCTCGACAGCCCCAAGAGATCCCGTCGTGACTCGGGACTCAACTGTGACGAGGAGTCTGCAGAAACGCGCTGCTGCCGCTATCCTCTCACCGTAGACTTCGAGGAGTTTGGCTGGGACTGGATCATCGCTCCTAAACGTTACCGGGCCAACTACTGCTCGGGGGACTGTGAGTTCATGCACCTGCAGCAGTACCCGCACGCACACTTGGTGAACAAGGCAAACCCACGGGGCACTGCAGGGCCCTGCTGCACGCCATCCAAAATGTCGCCCATCAACATGCTCTACTTCAACCGTAAAGAGCAAATCATCTATGGAAAGATCCCGTCTATGGTGGTGGACCACTGTGGCTGCTCCTGAGGAGCCCTGGGCTTCCTGAAGGACGTAGTTTCGACTAGAGAAGCTCTGTCTCCAGCACAATGACATGAATCCAACCTTGGTGTCTGAGAAGAAGATCTAGGCTACTAAAGAGAGGCAAGACATGCTTTCAAGGGCAGGACTCCAAACGTTGTTCTTTAGCAGATATAAACCGAAAAAGTAAGGTGTGAGATGAAACAAAGTCAAATGTTAAATAAAATATAATTCTGTTGTTTTGAGCTATTTTCAGAGGATTTAAACAACTTGAGCTTTTTAAAGTTAACTCACGGTACATGGAAACTGTTTTTCTAGTTTTCAGTACAAATCTTCTTGATCTTGTTATTCATGCACCGTTACATAGATACTCTCACATAAACTCAGTCACCATTTATCCATCATAGTCGGACAGATCAGACACCTGCTGCTTCCTGTCTTACAATAACGTGTCCTGATTTGACCAGAGCAAACCCTGCGGGGCTTCTTCCATGTGTGCCTTTATTTTGAAAAACATGAACCGAATGACTCTGAGCCAACATGTCACCCCTCGCTCCCCAGCTCTTGTTTGCAAACTCCTCGCTGTGACCAGTTCTCAAGAGCATCACAGAGAGGCGACGTTACAGATGTGTTGTTCAGTGTTTTTGTGATTTAATTATGGTTAACTGTATTCTCTTGTGTTGTGTTGTTCCAAGCATAGAAAGTAAGTCAGTTTGTCAGCAGGCCTGTCATCACCTATAGCATCATAACATCCTGTAGCCAGAGAATGTTGATGGATGGAGCTGAATCAGCAGCCACCAGGGCTGAAAGTGAAGCTGAGAGATCTGTCATTGGTCAGGCTCTAAGGTACCCTGTGGAGTTTTTCTATTAGCAAACACAATTCAGTTTATCCAGCCCACAAGGCCTAAAAGTTGAATGCTTCACAAAACATTTTTCTGTATTCTAAACCCTCCCTCCAGGAAGTCACTTTTCTCTAGAGGTTGATTCAGATCTAAAAGTCACGACTCGCTGGCAAAACGGTGTAAAAACACCCCTCCATCAGTTACAATGTTAAGGGCAGAGAATGTGTTCTCAGGGGGAGCTGTCTTCTTGATTCGAAGCCGAGTGCAGATGTCTGGACTGTTGTTGGGCTTCATGGGGGTTTCTGACCCAAAGTCTTTGTTTTGCTGTTGGAGACGTTGGTTTGCCCTCCTATAAAAAAAAGTGTCGCATACTAAGATTTTTGGACGGTTGTTATTATTTCAGTATGTTTACCTTGAAAAACGTGACACTACTTTTGAGGCGAGGCAGACCACTTGGGGAAATTAATACTTCCTGGTGTCTTTGTACTGTAAATGTCTAAATTTTGACAAAACTCTAAGGTGTTGAAATTTGTGAGGACAGAGTTTGCCCACAGCTGTCAGTTATTACTAATTTCATTGCAAACTTGAGCAAACTGAGGTTCTTGGATGCATTTGCAAATTATGATTTTTGTAGTATTATTGATTAACAGTTACATTATTTGTGTTACTGAACAAAATATTCATATCTTCATGTTCTGTTAATGAACCAGAACTGCAAGTATCAGTGATACAATTTAGGAAGAGACTAAATTAGTGTGCCCCAGCCTTTTGGGCTTCACGCTTCAAAATTACACCGATCAGCCATAACCTTATGACCACCTGCCTAATACTGTTTACATAGGAGTCAACGTGGCAGTTGGTTGGCACTCGTGTCAGTCTGCAGCTCAGTGTGCATCTTCTGTGATTCAGTTTGACCATATTTACATATACCGTCTTAAACAGCGTGCATTTGTCTATCATTTAGTAATAAAAATATGATAAGGGAGTGAAAATTGCAGTTGTGAAGACAAGTTAATTTTTTTAACAAATTCAACGGCCTCCCCACTCTGAGCGTGATATCACCACTATGGCCGCTGAATGTTTCTCTACATAGAGACCAGTGTACAGTATTCGTCATTTGCTGCATAATATACCCCACACACTGACAGGTAACGAGGTAATCAATGTTATTCACCTCCCCTGTCAGTGGTCATAATGTTATGGCTGATCTGTGTGTATGAACCATTTGTATGTTTGAATAGTTGTGGCATAGTGAATTTTTCCCCCCATCAGTTACCTCTTAGCTGCTGCAGGTGATTTTGCCACAATGATGGCATTTCTGTAATCAGGAATCTGACAGGAGGAAGGAAAACTGATGTCAGTGTTTCCATCAGACTGACTGATGTGTTTAGTTTTTAGCTGGGATTTCCAGCATCTTTACTCAGACACACACAGCAGATGTTTGATGGGAATATCACCTCTTCTTGGATGTACTGAATCAAAAAGGGGGAGGCACGCAGGTTATCCACTGGAAAGCTGAAGAAGCCCTGGATCTCCTTCTGATGCAAGTCCATGGTGATGATGTGTGATAATCCTTTTGGTTAAGAGACATGAAATTTCACCAATTCAAAACACCAAATAACACCAATGATGGTAAGAAATAAAACACTTAAGATGCACTGTGGGCTTTACCTGCTTTAGCCAACATTGAAGCTAGTAACTTGCACACAATTGAGCCCCTCTTTCTCATCTTACACTGCTTGCTGTAGGGGAAGTAAGGAATAACTCCAATAATATTCTTGGCACAAGAGGTCTTGAGGGCATAGGCCATAACCAGCAGCTCCATGATGGCTGTGTTGACATCTCTGGCAGCAGCAAAAACAGAGAGAAACGTTAGTGGCCATCTATGGTATGAACTCTTCAGATTCCTGCTTCAGTACGGTGTGAAGCTTTGCTAATTTGCAACCCCATCAGTGGAATCAAAAGTTTAGATCTCTAGACTTCACAGTCAATATTTCACAAAAAAAGAAATATTACAGTAAATCAGAATTATGGTCTTCTTTTTAAAGACCATTAATCATCTTGCAAACCCCTCAGATTTATCTTGTACACTGTTAGAGGGGTCTTGACCCTGAGACTGAGATTCACTGTATTAAATAATTATAACAGTTTCTGTAATGATGTCTACACATTTTTTTATAATTATATTTTTGTTGTAGTTGCTGTTGGGGCCAAAGCTGGCACAAAGGTGATCCTAAAAACATACTTACCATATAATGTTGACAAATAAAGCCTTATTTTCTGCTCATACACAAATTTGCAAGTTATTTTAATTTTGAACAAAATGAACATGACAAAAGTGTCCTAAGCTGCGTTAAGTTTCAGTTTCAGAGCTGTGGTTGTCTGCACTACTTTCTCTTTCTCTGAAAACACGTGGTCACCATGGCTGTTCTCTTTAGTGGGTTTGCTCCCTCCAACACTCTACATTATTTTGCTGTTAATATTTTTAAAATACAATTTTTATGTAGTTTTACAGCCTTATAGTCTACAAAAATAAATAAGGTATTCATTCTTAACTTTCTACCCATATTAGTCAAACTGTTTGAATAACACCATGTGTATAATCGTTATTATGGCTAAGCTTGCTGACTGATAGAACAGCTGGTTTTTCACTATTTTGATTGGCTATCACAAGCAAAAGGGCGGGCACATACAATGAATTCTACGCGACGATTGGCTGACACCTTGCCGTGCACTTGATACGCTACATTTGCAGAAACAGTCTGAGATAGCCGATTCGTTGCACAAGTTTGGAAAACTATTTTTCGGGGGGAAAAAAAGGTGCATTTCTGTTAGTGGTTGTACACACTTCCTCAAACTAAACGGTGAGTTTAACTTAATTCCATTCGTTGTGAGATGGTTTGGTCCTCTTCTATACTGAGCCAGCACAGTTTAGCAGCTAAACTTGGCTTTGCTAGTAAACACTCTTAGGATAACACCTAAGGTATTTTATACATCGTTAGCTTCCACTTGTACATTTACTCTACTTAGTCCACCCAGCAGCTGTTGTTCCAGTAAAATTGTGGCTTTTTTATTTTACAGTCGTCACCACCCACCACTTGATATTCTGCTTTATAAACATGAATCATCAATTGTCCCGTCCTACATCTGGATATTGTACTTTATAAGTAACACCAGCTAAATCATACATAGACCGAATTCACCAGTGCAACATATCCGTTTGGATCAGATGTTGGTTCTTGTTCTGTTAAACACCTGTGAATGGCGAGATACTAGAAATCCGACAAAAGAACAATGTCTGAACCCAGTTTGGTTTATGAGAGGTAGCAAGGCTCGGTGGGTTGTACTGGTACCCAGAGCTGACAACAGGGAATTTCGCCCAAAATTGAATGTCAAATCTTTTTTGTTTTGTTTTGTTATAACCACGTAGTATAACTAGCACTGCAGTTTAAATGTGAATAAACAATTCAGTGTTAATAGTTAATGGGAGACATAAAGGCATCTGTTTACATGCAGATGGATATTTTCAGACTGATGCTGAGGCAGAGTGCTTTCTGTGAGGAAAATGAAACCTATTGTATGGTGACGTCCTCCTACTGTACATTCAGCTTATAATAAAAAAAATGTTAGTCTACTTTAAAAAAAATATGGCTTTATGCAGCACACATTTTGTCATTTATCTGAAAAATCCCATTATATTAAACAGTTTATCTGTGTAACTTGAACTTTATAGATGCAAAGGCAAGTCTGTCCACATCTTTTTTTATTTATTTATTTATCTTTCTTTTTGTGGATTTGTCATCAAAGGGCACACATTTGACTCTAAAATCTCTGTTATTTACAGTAAATGCATCTTAAGACTCAGCTTTAAATAACCCTCATCCTCAGATTACAGAGCACCTGGTCTGAGTTTGTAGTTTCAAATTTAAATACTTTGTCTAAGCAGAAATGAGTCAGGAAGAAAGAGGAACACATCTTATAGTAATTATCAAGTCAGCACTTTTGACTTCCAAGTTTCTTGTAGTGTAAATAATCTGATACTGAATTTTTCTCAGACAAATTTTTTTTTTCTCAAGCGCCAGAACTTCATGACCGTTGACTTCCCACTAATCTGAGGGTAGAAGGCAGACAGAAAAAAAACGATTTTCCACTTGAGAACGCTGACATGTTGTGAATCTTCCTCCTCGGTTCATATTCAAGAGATCTTATTAACAGTATTCATACCAGATTTATGTAAATTGTTAAATTTTGACCTCCAACTCTGGCATCAGCAGATTTTGCTTTATCGGATCCTTACATTCACCAGAACATGGCGCAGTGGTGCCAGCTTCAGATGCTGGACTGCAAGTACCTGGAGCAGGTGGACCAGCTCTATGATGACTCGTTCCCCATGGACATCCGCCAGTACCTGAGCAGGTGGATCGAGAGCATCGACTGGTGAGAAACTGGACAAGTTGCTCTTAATATTTTTTTTTCTCCTGTTTTAAAGCATTAACAAGAAGACAGATCAAAGCTTTGTTAAAATTTGTCACTAATAATTAAATCTGCTGTGTGTATTTATATCACAACTGATTACTTTAAGTTTGTAAACAGTTGGTTTGATTAAAAAAGCTATTTCTCTACGCCACCTTGGACTCTGGGAACTCGAGATGAACATTTTTCTCAATTTTCTATTATAATTTAAATATAATGGTTGACTGAAAGTGGAGACGAACTGATCTCGCCATCCTCAGGGACACTGTGGCTGGGG